TCTTATACATGCTTCCTGACGCAATGCTCTGCCGCCTTTCGCGACCTGTTGCGCATGCTGCGCTTTAAGCTTGACATTCTGTGTTCTAGCATGTAGTCGAGGCAAGAGCGATCTCTCGGACATTTAGTGTACTCGGTGCAATTGCTGTACGCCATATCCGCTAACAAATGGACAACACAAGCCGTGCGTGGAATGCCTTTTAGAAGCCCAGTTGAGAGCTGAAATGATGCAGTTCTAGTTCTACGTTTCTGTCCAAGTAATGCGCAATTCATTGTTAGCGACTTTCTATATATTAGTTTCAACGTACCCTAGTGGTAACGTACATTATTTCGTTTGCATGGTGTAGTTTTTGGGATCATAAGATAATTTCAATACGCTTTATTCACATTATGTCATTATATCATTACATCATAATTGTCACGAACGCTTTTTTTCTTCACAAATTCACTGTTTCATTGTGTGAATTCTCTATGTATATTTTTGCATTTGTTAACTTTCTACGTGAGCTTCTTAAAATAAACACTCGTTATATTTTGAAAAGGTACTTAAACAGAGTATTATGATAGCGTATAGAAATGTGTAGTATTTTATAATATAAAAAGACGTCATGGCATTGCTGTGCCATAGCGTACGAGTATACAATACTTCCGAGACCTGTACATATTTACAGGATGGTCAGCTACGTAATGAAGTTTAAAATGCAATGGACACATGAGAAGACTTTCAGATTTCCGAGTGCATTATTTCAATAAAATTTAAATTTACCTTAAAATAATTATATTTTTTGTTTAAACATGAAAAGTGTGGAGTTTTATTTATTGTTCACAATATCACTTATAATATTTTTAATTAATTTGTTCAATACTACTGAAGACGTATGCTATTCATATCCCTTTTACTTCACCTATCTGATAAGTAATGTTCAATAAGCGAGGTGTAAGATGACGGAACATTATTAGTACAATACATAGACACTAAAATCAAACTTTGGGATTAATTGTTCAATAAAAAGTTCAAATTTTTTTTCCTTGTAAATTTTAATATTTTTCATTTCCTTAACTTTCAAAAGTCAGAAGATTCTAATAAGGCCGTTTACGGATATGTTGGTCCTGATGGCATCAGTCCCCCAACATTAAACTTTTAATTGTAGTATTAGAATACATTTTCCTTTCTTTTAATTCATTATTTTAATCATGTTTTCGTATCTTTTATGGGTTACCGCAGCCCACTTATCATGAAAACGCCCTTTCAATGAGCTACTAATCGAGATTTGCAGAAGTATCCTGGTGCTCAAAAAGGCCCGATTCAGGAAAAATATCCAGAAAATTCTTTCTCACTTCTGCGAAATGTATTTGAGAACGTTCTAATTCCGAGTTGAACTTTGCAATCTCGAGGAATGTCACTTCTATCATGAAAAAAAAAATAATAAAAAAAATAAAATGTTCGTACTGTTTACTTTCCCGTATACGTACTATATATGGAGTAATATATGTAGTATAGGGAAAGTTATGTAATGCTGCGGGAAATCGATTTCAATATTTCAAAGGAAATAAACGTTTTGGAATACCCAGATACCGAAAAAGTGTTTTTTCCAAACGTTCGTCTGTCTGTCTGTTCGCCAGTCTGTCCGTCCGTCCGTCTGCCCGTCCGTCTATCTGTTCGTCTGCTGTCTGTGAACACTTCTGGCGCAAAACCATGAGTGTAATTTTTTCGTAATTGAAGAAACCCCTATCCATCATGCTCGAGTCGAAGCTCTGCGATTTTGAAAATAATTCATTAATTTTTGGGGGTACTTTACATGAAGCCCTCCGGACATTTTCAAAATGTCCTCAAAAACGGCTCCAATTTTTTCTTTAAATTTCTTGTAAGAATAGAGTAACATACCTCTATAAAGGAGGAGTAGCTCTGAATTTTATTGTTAACTCTGAATTTTCGAAAATTTCAAAAGTGTGAATTATTTTCAGTGTCCTACAACTACAAAATTGAAGATAGAGATTTCTGCTTCAAATAAAATTTGTTCTACTTAGTGAGTTCTTTCATTAAAGTGTCATGTACACGTTTTTGAAAATTTTAGTAGTTTTCGCGAAATATTGCGTGCAATATGTGCAATTTAAAAAAAATCACCAAGACAAGATTTTCTCAAAAACAGCTCCAAATTTTTTCTTTAAACTTTTCATAGGAATAGTTGTACAGAGAAGGGGAAGAATCCTTAGAACGGGGGAGGGGGTGGGCTAGCGGACTGAAAGGCCCTTCTCTATACAAAGTATTTTATACGCCGCACCGGGCCGTGAGGTGCCCGGAGGGGGGGGGGAGAGTATGACGCTGGTTAAGGAGGCGGAGGATGACAAAATTACGACAATTTCATTGCACTTACTATTTATTAATACTAAATGCTATGCTAGGTGAAATGAGGAGATGAAATGTGAATGAAACAAGATGAAACACGATGAATATAAAAAATGGGATACAAATGACTGACGGTGCAGTTTACATAAACGTCAATTATTGAATGTAATTTGTCACCGTGAAGGCTCATTAGTCGAGCTATGCACCACTCTTAAATGTGTATACGGCATTGCTGAATACATGGTATCTGGGTGGCTGAGGCATGCGTGGACCTCAGAGCTGCTCCTCTCCAGGGCGAAGAGGGAATGCAGGCGTCCCACACAGATCGCTGGTCGGAGAGTCTGTCCAGCAGCTGGCCACGGAACTGGCACACACGGTCTCGGTG